TCGTCTGGTCTTTCTGAGGTTGATGTTGCACTAAGCGTTAGAGCTGAAGCAGGACTGATCAATAGGATCCCCAATAACAGTCGGTTATACGTTATTAGATTTGAAAGCTCCATCAAACTGCAAAGTCGTTGTGAGAAACGATGTTTCTTCATCTCCCGGATGCAATAAATGACGTGTTTTACCACCAGTTAACTGTTCTTTTACAGAAAGCGCGTTCGACAGATATTGTAGTATTAGCCGGAGACTTGAATGCTCAGGTCGGGCGTCTAGGCACAAAACAGAGTCGTTTAAGCGGCCGATGGGGACTTTTTGGTCGCAGGACAGATAACGAATACCGTCTACTGCAAGTGTGTACAGACTACAAACTGTTTCTGGATAGCGCTAACTACCGGCACCGTTATCGCTAATATGCTACCTGTTGTCCTCCCATCTCAAGCCTGGACTCAGATTAATCACATCGCGATCAGCTACCGCTGATGTAGTTGTCTACAAGACTGCCGCTCCTTTTGGAGTACCTATCTGGACTCTGATCATGCAATTGTTAGCGCCAATCTTACCTTACTTTCCAGTGGCCAACACATTCATCGTCCTAAACGGATCAGTATCGGAAAATTGGTCGGAGCATGCCAATGAGTTGGAAGTAGCAGCTGTACCTGGTAACTTCCGGAAGCTCTTTCAATTCATCCGAGCCACTGGCAGCAAGGTGTTTGGTGTGAGAGAAACAATTTGTGAAGATGACAAGATGTAAATCATTGACATCTACCTATGTCTTAGACCATGGGCAGAGTTTTTTGAGGGGCAGTTCAACTGGTCTGCTACCCAGCAACATAGATCAGAGTGTGCAACAACTAATCCACCTAATGAGGCGGAAGTTGTCGAGCAACTCCAACTCTTAAAGCGGTACAAACCGCTAGGCCAAGATGACTTAGCTCCGACCATATTTAAAGACGGCACTGAATTTCTAGTTTAGGAACCGACAAAGGTTTGGCAGTTAGAGAGTGTAGGATTCAGCTTCAACGAGTTGAACCTCCTGGTTGTCGGCAGTAAGGAATGAAACTGAACAACCTCTTTTGCAATCTGTGTATTTTAGCAGACTGTCTTGATATTACCATGAAAGTTGGGATGGAGATAAATCAAAATCATAAATGTCAAATTAACATAAATGAGTGTTCTGGATTCAACTGCTAGCCGCTGTTCTAATATGAATAACGGTTTGAGTTATCACACTGTTGATAATCAAGCCTCAATTTCGATGCCGGTACATCTAGCCGACATGTCGTAGATTGGATGAAACGCTCACGTTATATTCCACCACTAGCCACAATCTACCTATTCCGAACAACAGAGTTGTTTGTTTGTTTGTTTGTTCATAAAAACCATATATGAGTAACAATGTGCTTGTTTGTGATCATAGTTATCATATGAGAAGGACTAATTATACAACCTTACTAATAAACTGAGTTAGCCGTTTTATCATTACAAGCCACAGCAATGGAATCAAGTTATCGTAACAACGAAAGCATCACACTTTATTTGACTAGTCAACTGAAAGTATGTTGGAATATGTCAACACGGAAAAGTTTTCGTTAGAATACAATGGAATGTAGTAATCGATTGAGTGTGTTGAAGTTTCAGGAGAGTGATGATATGAATAGGGTTCGTTTATCATCGTTCGACGAATTGCAAGCATGTTGCAGTTAGGTGGTGGTAAGGCCGTAATTGTATTCGTTTGAAATGAGGAATAAAAGATGAAAACGAGATGGTATGTGGTTAATTGATAAGCATCTACACAATAGACAAGAGGTTCAGTACACGAATTCTAATGAGAATTATCTACACAGAAAAATACAACACACCTTCCACAAATATTGAACTTTGTCCAATTAAGACTAATCTGGTTTATGTGGTAATTTCATGAATAATGGTTTTGATTCATGCTAACAGTTGAATATGTTCCAAACGTTTCTATGATGAATTAGTCGTCTCAGTTATTCATATCTATTTAGGAGGTCAAATACTTCTACAATTCAAAAACGTACCTATTGATGCATTATTGATCATTTGTTCCTCCAATGAATTTCATTTTGCTCACATAAACCGTTGCCCTACAAATGGATACGTTACAACAAATAACATGGATTTTCCACTATTAATTTATCTAACACATGTGAGAAGATAATATAGAACATTGTGCTATTTCAATGAGCTGAATTACATGCGTTCATGCGTTTCCGATTTGCGTGAGGAAATCGAGTGTCTGCATTTGGCAGTTCGAATGAAACTATGAATGATTAAATGAATTGAAATATGAAACTCAACAATCTCTCTCAATTATCAAGATAATCCTTCTTCTTTTGTCTTTACAACATAAACCTGAAATGCGAACAGTTGTTTAGGAATTTAGTAGTAATGGTTTTCAGAGATAAATTAAATCAAAGTGAACTGTACAACGGTCCTAGTGTGGTATGAGTTGCACAATGAGTTGTTATGACCATCAATACCTATGATCCGATCCACCTCGACACAAACTATTTTTACATCATACTTGATAAGATTACAATGGGATTGTGAACATGTTTGTAGTCCTGGTAAATACGCGACCACCATATTCATGTAGGCCTGAAACATTGACATCTCCTTCGGTCAGAGACACATTTCACCAATCAATCTTGATGTGTAAGGCGACCGAAACCAGTGATTGGATGAAAGACATCAGCATTTAGGAATTCATTTGTCATTATTATAGGTTTTCATAAATACTTCCATCATGAGTCACCATGTGAAGCATGTAGACCAAAGTAATTTTGAATGCTATTTTGACGAACGTTTTATGGAATGAAAAGTGTTGTTCCATCTTACTTTCCCTTACTATACTTAGATTATAAGGACAAAATGTTTAGAGTATTAGTGGAAGATGAGCTTCGATTCCTTAACAAATCAAAGTAATTCACACATACTTTCTTGTCTATCGCGTTATTCATGTTTTGAAATGAATATTCAATACTGTTTTGTTTTGTAAGTATGAATGAGACAGTTGGTTTACGAAAACCGAAATCTTGAACTGTTCACCTCCAATTTACAAAAATGAGAACTAGACTAGTCGACCATTCTCTTTCTTACATGATCTTAATGCATACGTATAGAGAGGAGAGACAATAAGTATTTCGGTGAATATATATTGATCTACAATCAGACAAAATGTGCAGCTGAATTGACTGGGATAATAAGGGAAGAATGCATATGTAGGCATTTCATTCATCTTTGGGAACAAGTCTAGATGCATGGTTGTGTGGTGTTTGAATGAACTAATGATTCCTTTGTACTTGTTGAATGTTTGATTTCGAATTCTAAATACATTCCTTGCGAGACAACAGTTTCTAATCAGTCGACTTATCAGATTTCTCAAGTTATTGTACAAGATATGGTTTTTCTCAGTGATTCACTTATTTCTGACGAAATTTCTTGCAAATCTGAGGAAAATATATTGAATGAACCTAGTCATGATCGAAAACGTGATGTAGTTTTGATAGATGCTGATTTTTCTTGTGATCCTTTACTCTGCAACTACATTCTTAATAAATTTGAGGAAACTATTTCAGAAGAATCAAATCATCATGTTCTATCAAATATTATTTGTCCTCATAATGCATTTGTTTCTTGTGGGAAACTTGTGCAATGCGAAGCACAAGTACTAAATGAGCTCGAGTTTGATTGCATTTCGAATGATTTCATATCAACTGCTGGTTATCCTCATCACGAAGTCAATTCTAATGTTTACTCTGATCAATCTGAGAAATATGTTTTAAATGAAGCCACATCATTCATAACTTAGAGTTATAAAGACCCAAAATTGTTTCATGGGGGAATATAGTGTTGGGAAATCTATGCTTTAAATTCTAGATAGTGGTTGCGGTACACAACCAACACGTTGATTGTATACAATCCCAGGAACCAAGTGAGTCTGTTCCGATTTCGGTCGTAAATTCCAATACTAATGAGCACATTCTAGATAATACAGAGTTTTTATCCAATGCAATGTCGGACAGACACAGGATGAACTTAAGAAGACGTACAATCGATTATAGACACTTTGACTATAATTTAAGATGTGGCGGATGTGGTGTATGAATAAAATAATGATTCCTTTGTACTTGTTCAATGTTTAATTCCGAATTCTAAATACAGTACATTCATTTTTGTTTATCTAGTACTTCTTGGTCCGATTACGTTATTTCTGGGATTCTTAGTTCATACCCCTAATCATCATAAGTTGCCTGATATGTCTGATAACAATTGATAATATGATACACAGTTTAATTGATCATAACTAGCATACATTTTGTATATGATCTATTCACGTAATCAAGAAACTATACTAATTTAATCTATCTTCACTGGTTAAATATACATACTGCAGTTTATAAACTAAAAGTTCTATTAGATATATATGAATCAGTCAGTCAGTCAGTCAGCTACAACGTAGGACCAGGCACATATGTGCATCGGTCCAGGTTGCCATACCTCATTAGCACAGCAAGATGAACACCGGATTCATAGCAGTGGTTAGGCCAAAGGTTGCAATAAGGATATAGTATAGGAAGAAAGAATTAGTTCGTAGAAAGAAAGATATGAAGCGATTTTAATCTCTTAGTTTAAGGGAAGACAGAATATACTTATATTGTCTGTGATAGCTCCATATAGTGAAACGATGAGTAGTTCAGGTTATCTGAAATATTTGGGCGTTGAATCCAATAGGTTGGTTAGTGCTAGATAATTGCATAGAAGTTCCACAATCACAGAATATGTGCATTGCATACATCAATTCTGAAGGTGAGTCAATAAAGAACCAACTTATCAATTCATAATTGTCATTGAAATATTCTCCACATTATGATTTAATGACTCACACTCATGATCCTCTTCTACAGTGACTGTGCACTAAATACGATTCGAAAATTACCTAATATTACATATCAACTATCTGTTTCGATAATTGTTTCCTACTCAATATTTTCACTAGCAACTAGAAACGACAATGATATTACCCATCCTGAAACACACCTATATGACGAGATATAAAGAGAAAACAATCTCGGTCTTCTGCACGAATAACTGTTTATTTCAATTGTTTACTAATAATGAAGATGTTTCATTCTCGATTTTGAAACACTATCACAGATAAAATTACCACACACAAAAGCACACACTGACAATAATATGATAATGGATCAACCAGTACAAAAGACAATGTGGAAACACAATCTCAGTTACAATAATATTTATTCTGTTCTGTTTTGTGCTCTTCATTCAAACTGTATATTATTCTATGTTTGTTCTTATAAAGATGAATTCGGGAATTGATGAGTACTAGAGAAAATCGTGTTTTTGAAGATGATTGGGTTGATTTGTGTGCAGAATGATCAGATGTGTATTACAATGTTTGATTTGGTTTCTGGTGATATTTCGCTAGAGTTTCCGGTTTCCTCCAACTTAACCGGATTTGAATAGAAGAATCGCTACATTGCCCATATAAAAGTAGATGAAATGTTTGGTTTCATGCGTCACATGACTGTAAACAATGAGGGAAATAACACGCCAGTTAGCAATACATTAACAAATTTTCTAAAAGCAAAGTTACATAATTCCTTATACATTGTTACAATCTCCACATTATAACTTCAAATGATTTCTGTCTTGGCATAGACAGTGAGTGAATAACATTGATTACATATTAATAATGAATAAATATTTATGTCGAGTTACAAAATATTACTAACCTTCCGAAATTTCTCCCAACAATACAATGCCATGTAGGATTGTATTTCTTGTCAAATTCTTTTTTAATGAATGCTGCTATATCTTTTTCGATACTAGATTTCTCTAAAGCTCGTAAAGCACAATTAACAGCCTCTTGTTGCATATCATCTGACATATCGGCATTATTGATTAATGGTTTACGTTCACCCACCATTATATTTTAAAAGATTTAAAATATGTATGCGGATGAATTAAGTAGCCGTTTACTAATTGTCTTCACAGTGCTACCTTATTATAATTTCTAATTCCAAAACAGACACTATTTATATCAACAAGAGTGTCATACTTTTGACCTTATTAAAAATGTGATGAAGTGATAATTTAGTAGCTTGGCTTCAGATATAAAATGTGTGTAGGTATATAGATAAATAAATAAATAAATATATGTAGTGGCACAGATTTCAATTGGTTCATACATAATCTTGACGTACAGTCAATCAGTTACATCGTAGGACCAGGCACGTATATGCATCGGTCCAAGTTGCCATACCTCCTTAGAACAACAAGATGAACACTGAATTCAGAGAAGTAGTTACTTCGACGGTAGTAATGTATTAAGGAAAGATTGCATACAAGGATGTAGTACAGAAAGAAAGAATTAGTCGGTAGAAAGATATGAAGCAATTTTAATCTCAGATTTTAAGGGAAGACAGAAAGTTTATACACCTATGCCACTGTGATCGATTCTCAGCCATGTCACGCAGACCCCAACCAATTAGTCCACTTCTATTAACATGGCTCACACCACAAGTTAGTAACTTTATGGATTGATGTCACGTTCTGGTTATGTCGCCCCCCAACTTTCTTCCATCCGTTTACAACACTAGTCAGCGTTGCGCATCGTAGTGGTCGGTGTTCAGGCGTATGTAACCATCTCAGTCAATGAAGATTCACAACCTCAACAACTGCTTTACCATCATTCCCTAATACCCAGCGTCTAACCTCAATATTACTTACCCAGTGATCCCAGTAGATGCAAGCAATATTTCTAAGGCATCTGTGGTCAAATACCAGTAACTTACGAGTATCTTCTACCATAAACGGCCACGTTTCTCAGCCGTAAAGTAGAACAGAACGAACTGCCACGAAGTATACTCGTCCCTTAATTGATAGACGGATATCTCGCCTTCGCCATAGGTGACGTAAGTTGGTAAAAGCCAAACGAGCTTTCTGAATCCATGCTGAGATTTCGTCAAACACCAACGTATGCCATAAGAATAGAAGTGATCTATGTTTGATTTTCGCGTTACAGTGTGAATTTTAGTGAATTTTGTAATCCAAGTAAATGCTTTTCTACAAAAGTAGAACTAAACTACTTGATTTATTATTCAGTAGATGAATTTACAAGGTTGATTTAACAACGACACAAAGTAATATTTTAATCGATGAAATTGATTGTTCTGAGCCATCATTTGCACAAACATTTTATTAGATTTGACAATCATAGTTAAACGATATCCTCGTATCTCTTATTCTAAATATAATGTGAGCAAGGATAATAGTTAGAGGTGATTCGTGATTGTGGTTGTATATAATTTATGTTGACGTATTGATTTAATGTGTAAATCGTGATATTCTGTTTATGTTGGTGAGTATCACATTTTAAGTAATTCCAATCAATGTTCCATGCTATGATATCACAGTGTTAACTCTACATATTCCACCTAGATTTTCTCTTAGTTAGTATATGCCAGTATGACGTATCTGGAATCATGAAGGCATGAACAATTCACATGAGATTTAAATTTGAGTATCCCAGTTTCAGACACATAAACACTGATCTACTCAGAACTATGTGATTGGTGATATTTACATCACTATGCACTGATTGAATGATATTTCAAATTATTACATGATGGGTAGATAAATTACTCGAAAGTGAATGATTAATTTGAATGAGTGAATATTTTGACCATAAGATTTTCTTTAAAACTCACGAAATCTACAACACTATATTCGTCTAGATTTTCGACTAACTGGTCTAATATCTAACTCAATTTCTGCAATATTTATTACACAATAGACTACAATGAACCCCGCCCGTAGCTCTTCTAGGGTTACTGCCGGTTCCAAGCCTGGGTAAATGACGAGGGTTGAGCATGGGGTTAGAGACCCCATACTGTAGGAAACTAACTCTCCAAAAGAACACTAACCAGAAAAAAAATAATTCAAACCATTTAAACTCTGCCCTGGGATCTAGATGATCTTCACTTAGAAGAACTATGACGCTTCATGGTGAAAGCCGAGTTCCTTTGGAAGTCACGAGGCCGATGTCCTTTCTAACAACCAGAGCAACAGCTTCTATAGGTACATGGAACGTCCGGACAATGTGGGAGACCGGAAAGACCAGTCAAATAGTAATTGAAGTGAGGAGATACAACTTGATAGTACTGGGAATCAGCGAAACCCACTGGACCTAAGCTGGACAGAAAAGGCTAAATACGGGAGGGATGCTGCTATACTCCGGCCACGAAGAGGAAAATGCTCCACACACTCAGGGAGCTGCTCTAATGCTGCCCAAAGTAGCACGAAATTCACTTGTAGGATGGGAATCTCACGGATCCACAATCATCAAAGCATCATTCAAAACAAAGGAGGGGATCACAATGAATATTATCCAATGTTCTGCACCCAACAATAATAGTAATGACGACGATGAAGATCATTTCTATAATAGGTTGCAGTCAATCATAGAGAATTGCTTAAGAAAAAACCTCACCATCCTGATGGGAGATCTAAACGCCAAAGTCGGAATAGACAACACCGGATATGAAGATATCATGAGACGACATGGACTGGGAGAGAGAAACGAAAATGGGGAAAGATTTGCAAATCTGTGTGCTTTCAACTAATTGGTCATAGGCGACACAATATTTCCAAGCAAACGTATACACAAAGCTACATGGATCTCACCGGACCACACCACAGAGAACCAGATAGATCATAATTGCATCAATAAAAAGTTCCGAAGGACAATGGAAGATGTGAGAACCAGGAGAGGGGTTGATATAGCTTCAGATCACCACCTAGTTGTCGCCAATTTAAAACTGGAGCTAAAGAGGAACTGGACAACTGGACAAACAACACTACAAAGGTTCAATACAGCCTTCCTTCGAGATACTGACAATGAATAGCTCTCAACAACAGGTTCCAAGCCCTACAAGATCTACTGAAGGAAGAAGAAACTACTATGGAGGACAACTGGAAAGGTATGGAAGAATCACTAACTTCAACGTGTCAAGAGGTTCTGGGTCTAAAGAAACACCATCATAAGGAGTGGATCTCTATAGAAACTCTGAACAAGATCAAAGAGAGGAAGAACAAGACGGCAGCAATTAACAACAGCCAAACACAAGCAGAGAAATTCCAATCACAAGCTGAGTAATTAGAAGCAAACAAACAAGTGAAGAATAGCATTAAAATCTACAAGAAGAAGTACGTGGAAGAACTAGCAACGACGGCGGAAAAAGCTGCAACAGAAGGAAATATGAAACAGCTTTACGATACAACGAAGAAACTAGCAGGGAGATATAGTAAACCAGAGAGACCGGTCAAGGACAAAGAAGGCAGGCTAATCACTTAAACTCAACAACACCGGAACTGATGAGTAGAGTACTTCGAGGAACTCCTGAATAGGCCGGCTCCAATGAATCCATCTGACATCGAAGCAGCATACACAGATCTTCCTATAGATGTCAATCCACCAACGACGGAAGAAATCAGAATGGCCATCTGATAAATGAAGAGCGGGAAGGCAGCAGGACCCGACAACATACCAGCTGAAGCACTGAAGTCAGACATCGAAGTAACTACAAACAAACTTCACCTCCTATTCAAGAAGATTTGAGAGGAGGAACAAGTGCCGATGGACTGGAAAGAAGGACACCTCATGAATATTCCAAAGACAGGAGATTTGAGCAAATGTGAAAACTACAGAGGCATAACACTACTGTCAGTACCAGGGAAAGTCTTTAACAGAGTGTTGCTGAACCGGATGAAAGATGCAGTAGACACCCAACTTTGAGAGCAACAGGCCGGATTCTGTAAGGATCAGTCATGCACAGACCAAATTGCGACACTACCGATCATCATCAAACAATCAATTGAGTGGAACTCGTCACTATACATCAACTTTATTGATTATGAAAAGGCATTTGGCAGTGTAGATAGGAGAACATTATGGAAACTTCTTCGACACTATGGAGTCCCTGAGATTGTCAACATTATCCACAACTCATACGACGGACTACAGTGCAAGGTCGTGCATGGAGGACAGATGATAGACGCATTTCAAGTAAGGACCGGAGTCAGCCAAGGCTGTATACTCTCTCCCTTCCTCTTTCTTCTGGTGGTCGACTGGATTATGAAGACCTCTACATCTGAGGGAAAACAAGGCATACAATGGACAGCTAAGAACCAATTAGACGATTTGGACTTCGCAGATCACCTAGTCCTCCTATCGCGTATACACGAACAAATGCAGATAAAGACAGCCAGTGTAGCAGCAGTCTCTGCATCAGTAGGTCTCAACATACACAAGGGGAAAACCAAAATCCTCAAATTCAAAGCGGAGAACATCAATCCAATCACTCTCGGTGGAGAAACTCTGGAAGATGTAGAATCCTTCACATACCTGGGAAGCATCATCGATGAACAAGGAGGATCAAATGCAGACGTAAATGCGAGGATTGGCAAAGCAAGGGTCGCATTCCTACAACTGAAGAACATATGGAACTCAGAACAACTTTCAACCAATATCAAAGTCAGAATCTTCAATACCAACGTCAAGGCAGTCAGTTCTACTGTACAGAGCTGAAACTTGGAGAACTACAACAACCACCATCAAGAAGGTACAAGTATTTATAAATAGTTGCTTACGTAAGATACTCGACCTTCATTGGTCGGATACCATCAGAACAGCCTTCTGTGGGAGAGAACAAACCAGCTTCCAGCTGAAGAGGAAATTAGGGGAAGACGATGGAAATGGATAAGACATACATTACGCAAATCATCAAACTGCATCATGAGGCAAGCGCTAACTTGGAATCCTGAAGGGAAGCGGAAAAGTAGGAGGCCAAAGAACACATTACGTCGGGAAATAGAATCAGATATGAAAAGGATGAATAACAACTGGAAAAAGCTGGAAAGGATCTCCCAGGACAGGGTTGGATGGAGAATTGTGGTGAGATGCCTATGCTCCTTCACGAGGAGTAGCAGGCGTAAGTAAGTAACCAAGTAGGACTACAATGCTTGCACGTCACTTATATCTCGGTGAAAATTCTACAAAGCAATATGGGGAAATTCGAACGATTATTCATAAAATGTATTCGTATATTTCAGGAGAACTGTAATCACTACATACTAAGCTTAACTCCCTTGATATTTTCAGATTACTCTGCTTTACACCACAATAGAACACCTTGGTACCAGGGTAATTCCCGACCGTTGTTGCTACCTTGACGTGGTGGTCGGGCTTGCCTATCGTGATGAAGCGACCGAGCTATACTGGCTGGAACAACCGTTCCTCAAGGTCCTACCATGTCAGACAGGTCGGTTGAAGAGCGGTAAGACTAAAAGCAACAAACCCAAGGTCCAAAGGCGAAGTCGTACTGCTGACTGTACAGAGGTGTGATAGCAGTAAGGTGTTTCCTTCAGACAACCAGCATGACAGCGATGCTGCCTTCCCACAAGGAGTGGTGGGGTTAGAAAAGGTCGACCCTAAAAATGTCACACCTCACCTTACCTCACGGATCTCCGTCTCCGGCGGTAAGGCCCTTTGAAGAACGGAGCTAACACGTCAAAAACCTCCCACGAAAAGGCCGTGCGCCACCGGCCTCAAGCAGTTGTCCCTTGGACACCGCGGTCACGCTCTCAGGTCACTCAGACCACCTCTAATCCAATTTCCTTTTCAGGTACCTCCAGAACAACCCTTCCACGGTGTGGGCA